CGAGAAAAAAACCAAAAAACAAACCGAAAAAAGGCAAAACTTCTGCATTTAAAAAAATTCAGCAGCCCGAGCTAGCGGGGATGGGGGAAACAGCCCAAAAAAAATCCCAGCTTTGTGATTTATCCCCAAAATCCCCAGATCCTCGCGATTCCGGCTGGGAAGGAGGGAGATGCCACCAGCACCGCCTCACCTCCTCCTCACTTCCCTTTTTTCCTGGCTTTTCCCTCGGGAAAACGCCTGGAAAATCAGCGCTGTGACCTGCAGCATCCCTGCTGCTCCCAGCGGGGATTTTTTGGGATAAATTCAAATTTAATACCCTGCTTGACAGAAAAAAAACCCCAAAAAACCCAGGCACAGCCAGCTCCTGAATTCCGTGGGGTAGGTTCGCTGTTCGGAAACGTTTTGCTTTTTTTAAAAAATCCCATTCCAGGATTTTTAATTTTTTTTTTTTTTTCCATTTAATCTCGAGGAAAAACTCTCCCAAAACTGCCCCAAGACCATCGACCCCAAAAGAGAGGCAGCAGAAATTCAGAAATTCTGATCTGGGAGTCCCTCGAGGCGCTGTCCCACTCTTCCTCCCCTCCCAGCCCCGGTAAATCCCAAGGAAATCCCTCCGGATCCCACCTGGAATTCTGCCTCTGGATCCCCGCTCAGCCTCAGCGCTCCCCACACCCTAAAAAGAGAGAAAAAAATCAGAAAAAATGGATTTTCCTCCAGCAGGGAGCCCCCAGTGCTGCCAGAACCCCCAAAACCCCCCAAAATCCCCCAAACTCCCCCAAAATCGAGGTGGTTTTGCTCTTTCTCGCAGCTGCTCAATAAACCCGCCAGCATCGCCACGGCCTCTGTTTCTTGCAGGAAATACTCTCCAAAAAATCAGAATTTGTGGGTTTAATTTCTGCTCTGAGGTGGATTTTATTCGCTACAGCTGAGACTGACATTATTCTTTTAATTCTCCCTTTTTCTGCCTTTAAAACTTGGGTGCACAGTGGGGCTGGATCCTGCTTTTTGGTGGAGTTTTTGATGGTTCTGCTGGGGTTTTTTGGTGGTCGTTAATTTTTTTTTGTTGTTGTTTTTGGCTTTGTTTTGGTTTTGGGGTTTTTTTGTTTGGTTTTTTTTTGTTTTTGTTTTTGTTTGTTTGTTTGTTTTTGTTTTTGTTTGGTTTGGTTTTTTTAGTGGGGGGGATGGTTTGGGGAGTGCAGAATCCCATTTTTCGATGGAGCTTGTGGGGTTTTTTTGATGGTTGTTTTATGGTTGTTTTTGGCTTTGTTTTGGGGGTTTATTTAGGTTTTTTGTTTGTTTGTTTGGTGTTTGTTTTGGTTTTGGTTTTTTTTTGGGGGGGAGGGATTTTTTGGGAGTGCAG